TGCCCTTTGCTTTCATTGTGGATAAATGGAGATGGGACGTTTTCTCTGGCAATGTCTCAAACCGAGACCTAAACAGGCACTGGTGGACATTGAGGGGACAGTATCAGGGTATCTCTCCACCTGTTAAAAGAAGTGAACATGACTTTGATCCCGGTGCTAAGTTTCATATTGCTAATAGTATTGAATACATTAGGTATTTTGGACACTGATTAATTCCAGTTGCAAACAATCACATTGAACATTTGAATTTCATAGATATTTTGTGTCCCAAATACTTCAGTTTCAATTACATAAATCTCTTTGTGGTTTCGGTCAAAAACATGTCCCTCTCTATGAGTGCGATATTGACGGCGACAAAGAGGCCGGAAATAAATTCAAGTATTTATACATTCATTTGTTCAATTCAAATGTTTCAGTCAATTAAATGGTATTTTAGAGAAATATTGTCATTGGGTTCCTCCGAAAGATGGTCTCACCAATTGAAAAGACTGACAGGAAGTATGGAAATGGATGTCAAACCACTGCTCGAGTATTTCAAACCACTACAAGACTTTCTGGACCAACAATTAGAGGGAGAAGAAATTGGATGGGATTTTAATGGTATTCTTTATCTCTCATATAAATTATAAATTTGTTTCAAAAAGTTATTTTTCTTTTAATTTCATTAATATTTATCACATAATGTATACTGAAGTTAATTAACATTTTATGTAAATTTCTATTTCCAGTCGACGATTACTTCTACTAAACATCGCTTCAAAGGAGCCCAGAAATAAAACATTTTCTTTTATTCTTCTATTAGTGTTATAATAAGTTATAAGATATAACTTATATTATACTTTATATCATATAAGACTTTTCAAAGTCTTGAAATGATATAAAGTATATACTTATATAATGTTTCCTCACTTCTGGTTATTGTATTTAAAAATATTAATATTGTTTGTGACTTATTTGTTATAGTTTTACAATAAGTTAAGACTTTTTGATGTAGTGGTCGATCGCCTGAAATGAGATCAGTTCCTCATATTTGGGTTTTCATAAGAATTGTCAGCCAAATAATAATAATACAAAAATAGGTCAAAATTAATCGAAAATTTATATTAAATATTAATTCTTAATCAAGAATTGACATGCAGTTAAAG